GACAGCAGCGGCAGGAGCGGAGCTCAGCCAGCCCGCTCGACCCGGGGCCAAGCAGCCTGCAGCAACCAGGAGCCAGGAGCCCTGCTCCCCCTGAGTCCTGGTTGGGACCTGGGAGCATCAACCCACTTGGGCCAGCATCATCTGACCCTCCTCCCCAGAGTGGACGTGTTACAGACGTGTCCAGCCCAGACCTCCTAACTCTCAGACCCCAGCCCCACAGGCCGCCTGGGGTTGAGGTTTCCACCTGCTGCCCTGGCTTCTGGCCAGCACCAGGGAGCAGGACCATTCCAGGTAGGGGGGCCAGCCGGGCACAGCTCCTAGGAAGCCGCAGGTGGGCAGGAAGCTGGGCAGCCAGCCCTGCAGCGCGGTGTCCTGGGCCATAACAGGTTCTGGAGACGGCGGCCCAGTGTGTTGGGAAGCCGTCCTGGGCCACTGTACAGACCTCAGGTGGCCCCACCACAACTAGGTGGCCTTGCAGAGAGTCCTGCACAGACGCCTGGTGTGCACGTCCACCCCTCCCTCCTGGTYTTCTCTCTCCCCCACCCTCAGGCTGACCTCTGCTGGGCCCTGTCTCCTTCCTGGGCGCTGCATCCCTGGCTGGGCTGGGAAGCGCTCCCTGTCACCTTCGTCATCATGGTCCTTGGGTGCTGTCATGCAGCTCTCAGTGCCCCTTCTAGAACCTTCCCAGCCAGAGCAGACGACCTCATCCTGCCCTGGACACTGGCCTGGGTGGTCTCTGGGCCAGTGCCCCCTCACCAGCCATGGGGCAGGTCAGAGCAGCCTCATCCCATGGGGTGGAGCAATCACGCTGTTGCCACAGGAGCCACAGCATGGCACGGTGACAGCTGGCCAAGGAGGCCAGCACCAGGCGGCCACGCTTACACTCAGCTCCTCATGGCGGTGGGGGACACAGGAGGGGTGGGAGCAGCAGGGAAGGAGAAAAGGTCCATAGAACACTGGGGCGACCCCACGTCTTTTCCAAGAAGCAGCTGACCTGCAGCCCTGCCTGGCTTCAGTGGACAGGACGTGTCACAGTCCTCAGCAAACTACCTGTTCCCTGCAGGAGAAATGCAGGCCTAGGGTCATGTCCATGGGAGGAGCCCAAGTTATCTGAGGGGAGACTTCTGTGAGCAGATCCTGAACCTCTGGGAGGTAGGGTAGCTCCCCCAGCCACGAAATCCAAGCCCGTAGGGTCACGACTCCGGTCAGGACAGTCGGCATGGCCAAGGGGACCTAGAGTGGTCATGGCAGTGGGGCTTCAAAGTCTGATCTGTCAGTCAAAAGTCAAGAGGTGGACCCTGGTGGGACTCTGGAAATGTCTGCGATCCCCAGTAAAACTGGGTGCAGGAGAGGCCCGCTGTCCCCTCTCCTTTCTGAGGGGACCCCTCTCCCTTGAGAGTGGCCCCTTGCCCTTTTCTATCCTTTCAGTAAACCCATTGCTGTTACTCCGAGTGACGGAAGCCTCTC